CTGCAAGTACTGAAGATCTGATCTCTAAACTCTGCTCTGATTAATTACACGCTGAAGCATACTTGTTGCAATACTCTGATACAACAAACTCTGAAGACATCAAGACTCTGATCACTCAAGGCTCTGATGTTGATTGCTGTGAATTAGAAACTTGTTGAAGAAGATTATTTGAAGTTATATCCGTTGGTTATGCCAAACGACTCTTTCCTCTTTTATGCTAGACACAAGAACTCAGGCAAAAAGGATTTCTCTGAACATTCTACTTCTAGGAAAGGTCAAGTGATGTGAAGACAAAAGGTTACAGCTACTTTGCAGTACACGGTCTTCAAGCATGCAACGTCTTGGACTTCTAAGTCTATAAAAGCAAGACTTCAATATCTTTCTTCAGTTGGCGAATATTGAACAATTCATTGAAAACTCTCTCAAAGCTCTCATACAAATTATTATTCTTTGCTAGATAGTTTTCATAGTTCTTAAACTTAAGTGTAAATCACAGTTGTGATACAGCTTACTTAGAAGCATTCAAACACTTGTTTAGTTTACATTTGATTGTAAAAGTTCCTTGAGAAGACCAAGTTGTGGTCAGTAGTTCTTGAGAAGACTAAGAACAGTTGTTCTTAGTGTTTGATATTATAATCAGTTTGATTATAGTGGATTAAGTCCTTGTGGATAAAGGCAAATCACTCTTGATAGGGTGGACTGTATTAGTTGAGTTCAACGAACCAGGATAAAAATCATTGTGTTTTTATTGCCATAATATTTTCAAAATCCTTATTCAACCCCCCTTCTAAGTATTTTCTCACCTTCATTTTCCACCGAGCTATGATTTATCCAAAGGAAAGGATAAAGATTGAAGCAAACCCTAGGTGCACTATGTAACAACAAAGCTAAGAGAATATAAGGTTCGGGGGTTGGTTATACTTAGGGAAGGTGTTAGCATCCTAAGTATTTGTAGTACTCTACATGTACCTCTTGCTAGTATTTGTGTTATGTTATTGTTTGCTTGCTAAAGGAAAAGGTGCTAAGGTAAATACCTAAGGTATATACACTTAGTATGCTCGCCAAGACGTTGCATCTCGTGCCTACGTATCCTAACTAGGATGGAATCAGAGCATTCGTAGTTCACCTAACTAAGGGTGAGGAGCCCTTGACTATGGTCAAGGTTCCAAGGGGAGTAAGTATTCATAACCATGATACTTACATAAAGTTAACAAACTCTCTAAGTCTAAGTTGAAAGACTAACTAGGATTGACTTTAACAAAAGTCAAAAGGAAATGTGAGTATTCATAACAATGATACTCACATAGAGTTTATAAACTATACGCCTAATTCTAAATTGCAAGATCAATTGGCTCTAACAAGGCCAAGAAGGGAAGGTAGGTACTTAACAACAATACTCACATAGAGTTTACAAACTCTAACATAAGGTTAGGTTTAAAAAGGAAGAATGACTCTAACAAGGTCATAAGTGGGGTACGAAGTAGACTAAGCTATCCTAAATGTGACATGACAATTAACAGGGAATCCTTTCCTTTGGAATTAGAGAATAATCTACAAGGAGCACATGATGATGCTTTAAGCATAAAAGATAACAATCATAAGTGAATGGTGAAATGAGCAAGGCATATGCTAAAGAAAATGATAAACTAATATGGTAAATACTCAAGTGGTAAAGAAAATATTAGCTCACTTCATATCAAAACATGTATAAAACAATAAGCATGTATCAATGAGAGATGATGCGACCAAGTCATGATACCACCATACACAAAATAGCACCATGCTAAAAGAAACATCACGACATGAATGGTCAGAACAAAATCAGAGTCATAAGTTCACGCAAAAAAATTAAATTAAAAACTCACAAAGAAGAGAGTTAAATTGATCAAAGAAAGTAGAAATTAAGTCTCCAAGTTCTAAGCATCAATATTTAAAACACTCAAACCACTAAAAATGTTTTCTTCAATTTTTAACAAATAAACTAATAAAAAATTAAGTTCCTAAATTAAAACTAACTAATTAAGAAACAAAATACTAATAATTTATTAGAAATAATAATTAAGGTAAAAATAAATATTAAAACAAAAACTCAACAATAAAACAATAATTTAAAAAAATGATTAAAAAAATCAAAATCAAAAGGAAGGGTGAGGTGAATCGAGCTATCAAAAAGCCCAAAGACAAGGAGCTGGGCACGAATGGGCTGAACACATGGGCCAGTTTGACTCAATTTACATGGCTCCACACTTAAAGACTAACCCTAAAAAAAAGGAAGAACGACTATGCTCAGAAAGAATCACGATGCTTGAAACCAAATTTCAGATTCACACTTCTCCTTCACCACTTCAATCTTGTTCTTTCCGTCTGCCTCGTCCCTTTCTATCGATCAATCTTTTCGACTTTCTGCTCTCTCAATCTCCTTTCCTTGCACGAATCATTCGTTCTCTCCCGACCAAATCGCACAAAGAAATTAAAAACAAAGGAAAGGGTATCGTGATAAGAACATAACTTCTGCGTAAATCGAAATCGTCCCCAAAAGAACTCACCCTCTCCACGCGGTTCAACCTATCACTCTCTATCTCTCTCCTCTCTCTATTTCTTGTTTGAAAACTCAACAAAAACTTACAACTTGCACGCAGAGAATAAAATAAAAAAAAGAATAGATTACGAACACGGAAGTAATGGTTTGATCCGTATATTAATCCGAATATTGAATGTTGAATTACAACTCAACTAACAAATCTGAATGCAGGCGCTAGAATGGTGCACAAAAAATAACACAAACAAATACTCAAAGTATTAACCCTAACACAAAGATTCTTCAATAGTTGCACACCTCAAACTTTAGGTTTGAGCCTCCTTAAATAACAATGCAATCTTTTTGGCTTTTTCTCCAATGAGCATAAGATTTGATCACACTCAGGTTTGTAGAAGATTCGATTTTTATTTGTTTTTCAAAAACCTCCAATAAAAGATTTGATTTGTTTGAATTCAAATTCAAATCTATAATTGATTTGATTTGATCCTTTTAATATGCCAAACAAATATAATTAAATACATTGCTAAAAGATAACAACAAATCTGATTGAAATCCAATAAAAAATTATACTCAGAACAATATCCATCCATACCTACTGACAAGGGTCAGATGTTACACACATGATAAAACATTTGATCTCATATATGTTCTTTCTTTATCAAAATATTTTATTACTTCATATTATTTTGTGTAATGTAGACAATTCAAAAGCAACAACACACTTCTTCAAAATCTAAATCAAATAAAGAAAAATATCACAATAAATTTTTTTAAAATCAAATAAAGAAAAATATGACAATAAAAATGGTGAACTTTTATTTACCTAATTCAAAAAATTGAGAAAGTTACCCTCAATCTTTGAGAGAAAAAAAACTATTTTATAAACAATTAAATATGTTAAAATTATATAACATCTTATGATTGGTTGATAGAGAGATTGTACTAAATAAAAATATAGAAAAAATAAAATAAAATTAGGAATAGCTTGAGGATCTTGTTCCCTGATACTCGTGACATCTTTCCATTGCTCGCATCGCTCTGACATCGATCGTCTTCTCTGATTCTCGTTCGCATCACATCGATTAGTCAGAGCCCTAAATCGCAGTGGTTAGGTCTTCTTCAACCGCCAAGCCTCCACAATTGGTTTCATCTCGATTCCCTTCCTCACGCGTCTCACACTTCTTCAAGTTGAGGTTAGTTTCTTTTCATCAATTTCAACTTTATTTCCTTGCTTATAACTTAGATTTCTTCTTAACTCTATCTTTTTTCTTACACGAAAACTTAAATTTCATTCATGTATCTGCCACTGCATCACACTGTATATTTTTGATAGAAATTTGTTGATAAATTAGGTGTTATGTTGAAGACACTATGTTAAGTTGTTGATAATAGGAGAGTGTTGGGTAATTGTAGTAGAAAAGGTGGTGGAAACTATGCTTAAATGGTAGAGAGAATCGAGATGTGGATTCTGTTGTAAGAATAGTAGATCAGATGGAGAGTAGTCAAAAACTGCTAGAGAGAGGAGAAGACCTAGAAAAACTGGAAAAGAAACTATTAAGAAATATCTCGAGATTAATGAGTTGAATAGAAGCATGACTTTGATAAAACGTTATGGCGTAGTTTGATCCATATAGCCGACCCCCCTCAGTGGGATAATGCTTGGTTGTTGTTGTATGTTGTTGATGGATTAATGCTTGGTTGTTGTTGTATGTTGTTGATGGATTACTGTTTAGCGGGTTTTTAGGCCTACTTAGGACTCCCATTTTATGTCTTACTTCGCACATTAATGTTATAGGTTTTAAGTTAATGAGCTACACAACATAAGGTTTAAGTTGAAGTGCATATACCTCCTTTTCCCAATCACATCGAGCTGTTACTGTGATAAGTATCAATGTTTGAATTGCTCTACCACCAAATATCATCCCACCCTAGATGCCTTGTCACCATATATTCATGTCATCCTAATTAAATTATATTATTCAATGTTCAATCATATATAGTATAATTGATGATTAGATAAATTAGGTGTTATGTTAAAAAAAATTGTATGTTGTTATTTATTTTTTTACATGTTTGTTTTGCCCCACCAAAGAAGCTTGTTCTGAAGTTGATAAAAGAAAGATTCATTAAGGTTGTCATTTCCATAACTTTTGATTGGATTTGAGTCGTATTGTACTACTGGGATATTTTGTAACTCATACATAGTGTGGTGATTTGATTGAATGTCTTGTGTGGTATTTTTTTTTGCTAACTGTAGTGATCACGAACCTCTTCACCGGCTCATGCGCACAAAACCAAGACAATATTTCTCTGAAGTTCGATTCTTCTCAATCTAAATATCCAAATCTATAACCCCAATTAGATCTCGGTAATATCACGTGATCTGTGACTCCCTCTGTTTTCTCCTGTTCTGTTTTCCCCTGAATTTTAGGGGGGAAATTGGGGTTTCAAAGTTTGGAAGATGAGGCGAAGAGCAACAGATTTTCGAAGGCCAGTGCGGAAAAGGGTTCCTGATGTGTTGTGGTGGGCATTATGCTGTGCAGTGCTTCTTATCTTTATCTATATTCTGACTAGAGGGACTCAGATTGAGTCTAGACCGGTTTTGTCCAAGGTATTTTTTTTTCTCAATTTATTTTTGTAGATTTCTGTTCTTGTTTGCCGAAAAATTTGTATGAAAACTGAGTTAATTTCATTTTGGGTTCTTTAAACAAGTTATTGTTGTGCCTTATTTTGTAAAGGAGAATTGACTAAACAGCTAGATTGTATCTCTTAAACTCAACAAGCTAAGATGTTTCTATTTGGTTATAGGCATTAAGAAGCTATCTCAACATATAGTGGATGTGAAAAGTGAAACTTAAGTTCTGTGAGCTATTTGTCAAGCTTTTAAAAGGCCGAATTTTTTTATAATCTCTTGTAAACACTTAGGTACGTTCATGCACTTGCCTCATCAGATAAGTCTTAATAAGCTTTATAAAATGGCTAGTTCTACGGTGCACAAGTGAAGTAAGCGTTGTGCAATGCTCAAGTTTGTTTCCACAATTGAATCATTAAGTCCTACCATTGGATCAAGTGAGTTATGGTGGGATTTGTTGATCCAATGTTGGGAAGAAACTTGTGCATGGTGCTACACTATTTTACTTGTGCACCATAGAATAGTCGTCTTCTCGTGCTGTTGCAGCTGTAACTTTTGTAGCACTTAGGTTATCGTTCGGAAACTCTAATTAGCCCCCCCTAATTTTCTACATCTCAACTACTTTCTTAAGGGTGTTTAGGTCATTTTGTTTTATAGTAAGTGTGACCTAACTCTTATTTACAAAGATTCACGTGAAGCCCTTTCTTCATCTTCTTCATGAAGACTTCAAGTTTTCTTTCTTAGGTCATTTTGTTTTATAGTAAATGACCTAACTCTTATTTACAAAGATTCACGTGAAGCCCTCTTCATCTTCTTCACGAAGACTTCAAGTTTTCTTTCTGGTTCTTCTCTCACAAAGCCTTCTTCTTTTTCGATTACAAAGACTCTTTGGTGTCAGCGGAGACTTCAAGTTTTCTTTCTCCGGTTCTCTCACAAAGCCTTCTTCTTTTGTGAAGCCTTCTTCATTTCGACGATAAAGTTTGGTAGTTTCAGCCAATGTTACGGAGACTGAGGGTTGTGACAGAGGGCTCTGTTCTATATTCTTCTAAACTTTTCACTTTTTACCTCTACCACTGTTTTCAATTTCACCTCTCCTTGCACTCAACAGTGGCATCTTCATCTAAAACACTGTCCTCTGTTTTCAGTTTTACCTCTGCTTGTTTTGATTACTTTTAGAATTATAACTAGTACATTTTATTTTTAATGTTAGTAACAGATGACCAAAGTTAACAGTAATTTTTTTTTGATAAACAAAGTTAGTTATAATTATTACGTATGTATGTATCCCGTTTGGATTTTTGTTTAGTTTGTATACTGTTTTTTTAGTTTTGAAATAGCGGCTATCTGCTATAGTGGTTTTGGGGCCTGGTGTGTGCTTTGTGCTGTTATTTGAGATTAACAACATAATCCTAATATAACCTTCATTGGAGAGAAACAACTGGACTTGTGAGATTGAAGATTTTTGACTGAATTTCTCTACCTTCTTTTTTGATTTATTTCTTTATAAGGAATGAATGGCTAATGGGTGAGTTGAATTGAATTCTACATTAGATAAAAAAAATAAGTGTATTTCCAGAGGGAATTCTACATTGGATCTTTGTTTAGCATATAACTTGTATCCCATTGTGCAGAGAACTTACAAAAATGATAGGATTATGGAAGGCCTTAATATTACTGAAGAGATGTTAAGTTCAGACTCGGTGACCAGACAACTGAATGATCAGATATCCCTAGCAAAAGCTTTTGTTATAATTGCTAAAGAAAGTAACAATCTCCAATTTGCTTGGGAACTAAGTGCTCAGATCCGCAATTCGCAAATTCTTCTCTCAAATGCTGCCACTAGGCGTTCTCCTTTAACAACCAGAGAATCAGAGAGTGCTATCCATGATATGGCATTATTGTTATACCAGGCCCAGCAGCTCCATTATGACAGTGCAACCATGATCATGAGATTCAAAGCGAAAATCCAGGCTCTTGAAGAACAGGTGAGTTCCGTAAACGAAAAGAGTTCAAAATATGGACAAATAGCGGCTGAAGAAGTCCCAAAAAGCTTATACTGTCTTGGTGTCAGATTGACAACAGAGTGGTTCAAAAACCTTAATTTGCAAAAGAAATCGAAGAATAACGGGGTCCTCGAGATGAAGATTAATGATAGAAATCGCTACCACTTTTGCGTGTTCTCTGATAACATTATTGCAACTTCGGTCGTAGTCAATTCAACTGCAAAAAGTTCTAAAAATCCCAACATGATTGTTTTTCACATTGTCACTGATGAAATAAATTATGCTGCAATGAAGGCGTGGTTTGCCATAAACAATTTCCGTGGGGTTACTGTAGAAGTTCAGAAGTATGAAGACTTCACTTGGTTAAATGCTTCATATGTTCCCGTGCTTAAGCAACTTCAAGACTCAGAAATACAGAGCTACTACTTTTCTGGAAACAGTGATGATGGAAAGACACCTATCAAGTTTCGTAATCCCAAATATCTATCCATGCTTAACCACCTAAGGTTTTATATCCCTGAAGTTTTTCCTGCACTGAAGAAAATCGTGTTCCTGGACGATGATGTGGTGGTTCAGAAGGATTTGTCTGATCTTTTTTTACTTGATTTGAATGGGAATGTTAATGGAGCTGTTGAGACATGCATGGAGACATTTCATAGATACCATAAATACCTGAACTATTCTCATCCTCTTATAAGAGCACATTTTGATCCCGATGCATGCGGATGGGCATTTGGGATGAATGTATTTGATTTGGTTGAATGGAGAAAAAAGAATGTAACTGGCATCTACCACTATTGGCAAGAAAAAAACGCAGATCGCACACTCTGGAAACTCGGCACCTTGCCACCTGGACTGTTGACATTTTATGGATTAACCGAGCCCTTGGATCCATCGTGGCATGTACTGGGTTTTGGCTACACAAACGTTGATCCTCAGTTGATAGAGAGAGGGGCGGTACTACACTTCAATGGCAACTCCAAACCTTGGTTGAAGATTGGGATTGAAAAATACAAGCGCATATGGGAAAAACACATTGACTACTCTCATCCCTTATTGCAGCAATGCAACTTTCATTGAGCTTTATTAATTGGAACTTCAAAGTTGGTGGAAGATTTCGGTCCACAAGCACTAGTGCCACTATTATTGAACATTCCAAACCTCGATTGCAACAGTGAAACTATTATTGATCTGTGGAGCTGGGAGGTTAAATGATCTTTTGATTCCGAATCCAATGGAGGTATTTATTTTGTAGTAAAAAACGCGCGTACAATTTTCAAAGTTCAAGCATGTTCGGCGGCTATAACATGGTTGTAGCATATCAATGTTCATTTCTTTTAGACGCAATATCAGTTCATAGTTTATTCTTTGTGATTTTAGTCAGAATTGGGATCTGCTGTAATTTTTTCTCCTACTAGTACCATTACCACTAATATTCGTTGTAAGACCTGATGCATTATTAAATAGATGTAAATCAATATTCCATTCATCCGTTTAAAGGGTTTGATCACTCCCAATAAATATTTTTTTTTTCACACACATTAGTTATTGAGTGAACTTTAGATCAGATGATTAACAGATGCAAACATCTACATTTTCAAGAATCTTCGTTCCCCTCCCGCACAGATTCAAGATCATTGTAACTAGTATAACCCCGCACAGATTCAAGATCATTGTAACTAGTATAACCATTTTTATTTTATTTCATTTCATTGATTTTCTAAAGCAAAAATCTGAACTGTGTTTTTGGATTAGATGTGATGTGGTAGACATGGTTTGGCTCTTCATTGACTGAAAATATGTTCCATCTTTTCTAGCTGTGTTTTACATTTTGAATCTCACATATCTTGAAACTTTTGTTAATACCTAAATAGAGTTGTCAAATAAGCCTAATATTTAAAGGCCCTTATTATTTGGCCCCAATAAAGCTCTAATATGTCAAATCTCCTACGTATAAGATTTTTTTAGGACTGGCCCCTCAATTATTATATTATTTTTGAGCCCTATTAAGGGAGCCTTAGTTTATTCAAAATATTTCATCTGTACCGTAACTTTTTCCAATTACTTAGATTTTTTCAGGTTACTATCAACATGGTTTGGTTATGAAAAACTATGGAATATCACCATTGGTAGCTATCTGTAGATTTATATTATGTGTTCAAGATTATATTATATATGCGTGATGTTGATTTGGTTGTTTTCACTGTTATTTACTACTATATTTTTCCACTTTTATGAATTGATCTGTTTGTAAGGCTATACACATCTTGTAATTTACACATAAAGTAGTAGTAGCAATAATACTTGAATACAACTTAAACTTAGGACACATCACAAATATACTTGAATATAATTTAAAGTTAGACTCAGGACACATTAATAAAATATTTGAACAAATTTTACAATAAGCGTACCAATTCCTGGCTCAAGGAGCCTAATTGAATAAGCCTAATTTCACTCTACATATGATATTAGTTTATTCGTCCACACTCTACTAAAAGTTATTTTGTATTTTTCAAATTTATTTTATTTTATTTTTTAAAAATAAGTTTTTTTTTTTAATATTTTATTGGGCATTATAGTCCCCTTTTAGATTTTGGATTCTTCTAACTTTGAGGCCTATGTATTTGAAGGCTTATTATTTTTAAATTCTTTTAAACCCCTTTATTATGGGGGCTGGAGCCTAAATTATTTATGTTTTTAACTCATTTTTGTTGAATGGAATGATGTTTGATAGTTATATCATATTGTCCTTCAACAAGTTATCCTGACAAACTGTTTTTAGACAAGATCAAAACAATAATAAAGATTGACTATGATCCTCCAAAATTTCCTGAACTTGACTTAAATATTTGTATTGTGGAAATAATGAATATCAAAGATGAAAGTATTGATGCAATGATTGAGAAACTTGAAGAGAATACTTCGTATAAAATATATCTCAAGAGTAATGTAATTAGGTAGGACTTTTTGCTGAAGAAATGCAGCACAAATAAGAAAGTGAGGTTGTGTCTTCGATGCAGTTCTGTGTTTGCCAAAACTACTACAAAGGTCTTCTAAAGATTTTGAAAAGAAGAAGACTAGAGGAGTTGGAAAAAAAAATGAGTTTCATGTAAGGGACTATAGAAAAACACTTACATTCCTCATCCTAACGCGTTAATGGGATTTCTTATTTTTATAGGGTGGAAAAACTCCCTATAAAAAATCTAAAATGCCTCTTAGATTTTAAAGATACATCTTTGGACGCACCCATTTTTTAAGTCAAAACGTTACAATTAATTTGGAGATGCATTTCCAAAATATTTTAAAACACACCACATGCATCCTAATGAGGCACACCAACATATTTTGTAAACATGAATCCAGAGATGCATCTCTGAATATTTCAAAACACATCCCATGCACCCCTCTCTGATAAATCCATTTTAAACATTTATTGATCAATAGATGCATCTCCGTTTAAGGTTTACGAAGATGCATCTTTGTATCCAGTCAAAACAGTGCAAATTAAGTTAGTTTTATGGTTACTTAGATGAAAATTATGATTTATATATGTTAAGATCTCTGTTATGTGATGAACATTAGGCCATAATGACATGCACAATAAATTCAAAATATACAATGAAGTCAAAATAAGTAAAAATAAAATACAACCGAACATAAATTGAAACTACAATACTATCAACTTCTGCGTATGTCAGACTCGAGCTCCGCGGGCTCCTTGACCTCCTCTGTCCCCCGTGCTCCAATGTTGTCTCTTATACATCAATGTCTCTCGTGCCTCCATCATAATGACATCTAGGACCCCTTCACCTCAGAACCATCATAAAAGATACTCCTGTCAATACCTGTCTGTGCAATCTCCATAATACGATGATATCTAGGCAACACATCATAAGCATGATCTAACCTAGCCTGCTCCGCCGCTAGTATCTCCTGATGAGCTGACCTCGGCAGATCTCCTAGAGCAGCCTACATCATATATAGATGTGACACCCTGAAGAACCACTTGATGTACCTGTCTACATAGCTCTAGGCACTCTCAGCTATGATACTCTGTGCCTCCTCCGGTATCAGATGACTAAGATATTTATCAAACATGGAATTTATATCTCTATGTGTCATAGCAAGAGGAACAAAGACAACAAGGTGTCTGGGAATAATTTAGGTGTAGCCGAACTACCGCATGACGCACTCAGGCAGATGAGGAAATGTCAGACGTGAATCGCAAGCAAACCATCCCGAGTATAAGACTATTTCGTCAAATGATCGTGTCTCACGATGATCGACATATGTATTAAAGTGCATATCCTCTGCTACCAGACGATCAAGATACACTTGAAACGACTATGTCCTTGTTTCCCTCTCAGCGGGGAAAATGTAGAAGCAAGCGACATATCCTCAAAATAGGTAGGTTCACACGACCAGTTAGAGATGCGTGGGAAATGCTGGAGGATCCAAGGCTGAAAAGTGTTGGAACTATCAGTGACAACTCCCATTATAGGTCGGTCAACTTCCAAATATTCTATCATAAAATCAAGTGCCTCATTTTTGTTAATCCTCCCATGACCTAAAAGCTTCCCTCTAATCAGAAGATGCAGCGGACACGACACATTGCCGAGTGTCATAGAGATCTCACCAAGTGGTAGATGAAATAATGAGGTTTCAATATGTCATCTCTCTACAAATGCATTAAGCATCATGTGGTTCACCATAACATAACCGATCTTGCATAAATAATTTATCCCAAATATCTATGAAGCATCCATAAATCACTCGTCAGTAGGATAATACAAGCAAGTAATCTTTCTCCTATTGTTAATGAGTTTCAGCGGATCACGGTCCTGCAGAAAAATAAATCATCGTCAGAAACATGTAATATAATAATAAACGTAATTTAAAAAGAATGAATCTAACTAATCTTACCTCTTCATCTCATACATGTCTGGTAGTATGGTATGGGTAAAGAGGTAACAATGACAATTCTAACAAGTCTTCTCCAAATACCTCCTCCGCCTCATCAGCGTGAGGTCCCTCCGGTTCCTGGGGTAGAACTGGTGCCTCCGGTGACTTGGGTACCTCTGTTGCCTGAGTAGGTGAAACTCGACGCCTATGGGAAGATGAAGGCGATGATGCGTCACTAGGTGAAACCTGTCTCCTACGGGAAGAAGATGCATATATGAGTCCTAGAAGTCGACGCATCCATATCAACCAAGCTAAAGGGAATAGAAGCCTGGGGAACCTGACTCTTTTCCTTTTGGATCGATTCATGTTATGCAATCCTTTCGTGCCTCAATTTGCTGTCTTTATTTGCCATAATGTATGTAAGTACACCACCCAAGTGTCACACAATTACTACAAACAACCTTACAAGCAAGAAAAGGAAAAAATACAGATTGATAAAATACGGAGATGCATATCCGGTTCTTGGGAATCCAAACGTTGAAAAAAATACGGAGATGCATCTTCGGATTTTGCGTGCAACTTTCTTTTTCGTCAATGGCGCTAATGTAGACCACCAAGACCCTAAAATAATGCATTGATCATTACTTTTAACTACGAAACACATTTCTCGTAATGTATCAACTATCAAACATGCATAAACTGTGTATTTCAATACATAATCAAGACTTTCTACAAATTTGTGCAAAAACTCAAAAGTTTAGAATAATAAAAAAACTTATAAGAAGTGAGGAATCTTTAAAGTTGATGTAGTTGAATGATCTATTTGATGTAGTTGACATTGATTGAAATTTTTTTGATGTTGCTTGATTGATTTTGAGACAATGTGATTTTGGGAGAGTTTTAGAGAAAAATTAATTTTTTAACAAGTGAGGAAGAAAAGGGTTCTGGCACATTATATATAAGAAGCACCCGAAGATGCATCTCAGTAATGTTTACGAATATGCATCTCCGTAGTTTTCACATTAAGTCACACTTCTATTGACTTAGGATGCGTTTGGAGATGCATCTCTGAATTCTGGGAGCATTTTTGTTTTTTACGTGGTGCACTAGCTAGTAATACATGTTGGTGCACAAGAAGGAAGAAGATGAAGATAATGAAGATGGAAGAGAGAGAA